TATTAAATATTATTCAGAGTTATTAAGGACCAATACAAATCTTAATTCTAGATTGTAAACTCTTTCAAGCAGGGCCCTCACCACCCTATTGTTCCTGTAACAATTTGTAATTGTCTCATTTATTGTTACATTTCCCCCTCTTTATAATATTGTAAAGTGCTGCGGAATGAGCTGGCGTTATATGTTTAAGAAGCCCCCATGTATAAGACAGCCCCTATTTTTTTAGCTCAAAATTAAGAAATCAATATTTTTTTTTTTTTGAATTTGACAATTTTTATTTTGTCGAAAAGGGGGTGGGGGTACAGAAAGTAAATAGGGTGGGTTAACATCACATAAGGCATTGCAGTTTGAATACAGTAGTTTGTCAGGGTTTGCACAGTTGTAGTTATCCCTTAGTAACAGCACCTTGTGGTGTGAGGGTGTCTTGTGCATAGTGTCATCTTCTTTTTTAATGGTGTAGTATGGGTTTTCTCGTCATGGGGTCGTGCGGGCTGGGCAGAGCTTAGCATGGCCCTGGTTATTGTGTTACATATGGTTATGGATGTCTCATCATAGCGTTGATAGGGGATAGGAGGGGAATTGGGATGGGTGTGTATGCCGTGTGGAGTAGTGTGGTGAGGTATCAGTCTGTCATTTGAGTTCAGCCTCCTGTCGTGGAGGTACCGTTTCCAGCTTCAGGGTTGTGTTATATATGATTGTTGCGGTCTAGTTTTGTCCCACAGGTCCCATGCTTCAGTCCAGTAGGGGTGAGACTGTCTCGATTTCCTTGCCATAAGTTCATATAGTTTGGTTGATTCTATTACCTCAATGCATTGGTGGAGTGTTGGGGTGGTTTGTTGCTTCCATTTTCTGCTAATGACTGTGAGGGCTGCAATGCAGATGTGGTACAGTAGATACTTCAAGTGCAGGTGTGGCAATTGTGGGAGTGAGAGTAGTAGGAATGTTTCTGGTGTGGGGGTTATCTGCACCGTGGTGCATTTTGTGGCCAGGTTCGCAACTTGTGCCCAGTATCGTTGTAGTAGCGGGCATTGCCACCATATGTGTAGTAGGGTGCCTCGGTGCGCTTGACATCTCCAACATGTGTCCGATGTATCGGGGTAGCTATGTTTGAGTTTTGCGGGGACTAGGTACCACCTGTAGAGTAGTTTGCGTGAGAGTTCTAGGTGGGTCGTACAGAGGGTTAGTCGTTTATGAGCTTGGTATATATCTTGCCATTGGTCATTTGAGAGTGTGTGTCCGATGTCTTGTTCCCATGCCACTTTAAAGGAAGGTGGGTCCGTTAGGGTCTCTATGCGTTCCGAGGCGTATAATGTGGAGATAAGTTTTGTCGCTGGTTTTTCCCTTGTGCAGATCTTCATCAATTTAGTCCAATGGAGGTTTGGAGGATCAGCAGGTTGTGTCGGAGTGTGGATGCGTATCCATGATTGTAGTTGGAGGTAGGAAAAGGCCGCCGTATTAGGTAGCTTGAATTCTGTGCGAAGTTCTGAGAATGATTTGGGGTTATTTCCTTGCATTATATGCGATATTGTGGTTATGCCGTGCCTTTGCCAGAGTTTATAATTGAAATCTGGGATAAGCTGTCGGAGTGTCTCCAATGGCATCGCCGGGGAGAGTAGGTTTGTCGCGCCTCTTTTTTTCCGGTAGCTGTCCCATATGGACAGGGTTAGTGCTGTAGTGGGGAGCAATTCTGAAGCTTTGGGTCTGTGAGTTTTTGGTAGCCAGGCTAGAGTCTGGATTGGGATCTTCCGGGCTTGCCTTTCCTCCAGTTTTGCCCACGCTGTGGGGACCTGGCTGTGTGTTGCAGCAATGAGTGGAGCAATGTGCGCTGCCCTGTAGTATCCCGCCAATTCGGGCAGGCCCATCCCGCCCTGGGCGTGTGGCTTGTACATTGTGGCTTTGGACACCCTTGGTTTTTTATTGTCCCAGACGAAGTCGTTTATGACGTTTTGTAGTTCCATCAGATACTTTTTGGGGAGTCGGAGTGGGAGTGTACGGAACAGATATTGAATCTTGGGTAGAATCACCATCTTCACCGAGGCTATTCGCCCAGTCCAGGACACATATTTCCTCCTCCAGCTTTGCATTAGGGATTTAACTTCCTTAAGCAGTTTAGTATAGTTCGCTTTGAGCAGTGTGTTCGTTGTAGGTGTGAAGTTTATTCCTAAAAATTTGATATTGTCTTGTCTCCAGTCGTAGTTAAAATTGGATTTAAGGGTTGTCAGGACAGGGCTCGGGATATTAATCCCCATGGCTAGAGTCTTAGTGATGTTCAACTTGTAATATGAGCAGGCGCTATATCTAGAGAGGATTGCATGGAAATTGGGCAGGGAGATATGTGGTTGTTCCAGGGTTAGTAAGATATCATCCGCAAATAAGGACAATTTGTACTCCTGGTCCCTAGTTTTAATACCGTGGATATTCGGGTTGTCTCGTATGAGTTGGGTGAGGGGTTCTAGCGCCAGGATGTACAGCAGTGGGGAAAGTGGGCAGCCCTGTCTAGAGCCGTTAGTTATATGGAAGGGTTTTGAGATAAAACCCCCGTTTACCACTCGGGCTGTTGGCTGAGAGTATAGTGCTTTAATGAGTGATATAAATTGTGGGGGAAATTCAAATTTGTGGAGGACAGCCAACAGGAAGGGCCAATGGAGCCTATCAAAGGCTTTTTCGGCATCTAGGGATAGTAGGACGCTGGGCCTCTTTTTTTGCTGTATCACGTATAGTAGGTCCAGGGTTTTTCGCGTGCCGTCCGCTCCTTGTCTGCCCCTCACAAACCCTACTTGGTCTTCTTTAATAAGTGAGGGAATTATGGGAGCTAGCCTGTTTGAGAGGATTTTTGCTATAATTTTCACGTCCGTGTTTAACAGCGAGATGGGGCGCAGATTTTGGCATTTGTTTGGGGGTTTCCCTGGTTTGGGGAGGGTGGCGACATGGGCCATGAGCATTTCTTGTGGCATGGTCCCTGTCTGTAGGATGTGGTGGTATACTCTTTGTAGGTAGGGAGCTAGGGTAGGCGCGAACTGTTTGTAATATGAGTTGGGTAGTCCGTCTGGGCCTGGTGATTTTCCAGGTGGTAGGGAGTTTATGGTGTCTATGATTTCTTGCTCGGTGATCTGATGTTGTATAGTGTGTTTTTGTGTTGTCGTTAGAGTGGGGAGTTCCATAGTGTGAAGGAATTCGTCTATTTCTTGTGTGGTAGGTTGGTGTAAGGTGGGATCTGTTTTAAGGTTGTAGAGGGAGTGGTAGTAGTCGGCCATATCGTCATTGATGTCTTGTGGGTTATGAATTTTCTCGCCAGTTTTGGTGATTAGGTGTGGGATTTTGGAGTTGGCCTGCTTTTGTTTGAGTAAGTTGGCCAAGTGTTTCCCTGCTCTGTTACCTTGCGTGTATGTTCGTAGTTTCAGTTTAGTGAAATCAATATTTTAAACATCAAGTAGAACAACTTTGATATTTTAGAGGTGACTTCTGAGGAGAACAACACACTTCTGATTCTCATGCATCCCCTGTGCTACGGTACTCTGTGAAGTTAATGGCTCTACAGTGCATGCTGGGAGACTACAGCTCCCACAATACAGCAGATGGTGTGAGGGCATGCTGGGACATCTCAGCAGTATTCCCTCTGCTCCCTGATCCCTATATAAATCAGCAAGCAAGACCTACCTGAGGTTGCGCAAACCTTAGTATGGCTGCTCCTTTTATGGTGTGCCATGTGTCTGGAGCTCCGTTGGTGGTAAGTGCTGATGTCTGCTGCAGCTCCCACACATATAGGGACCTCTTCCTCCTTGCCACAGCATTCAGAAGTGGGTCGGCAGGAGGAAGGCCAGGTAAGTGTTTATTTTTAACCCCTGCAGTGACATTCTGTGTATAAGACGACCCCCAATTTTAGAAAAACATTTTTTAGAAATAAAAAAAGTCTGATACTTGGAAAAATACGGTAAATACCAATCATAATAATAATTGTACATTGATCATTTTGTTGAAATATGGTTTAGTAGTACAGTTCGTACAAAAGTGCAATAGCAAAGCCTGAATATGAAAAAAGGAAAGGTTAGTAAAATCTGAGACAAAGGAAGTCAATCAGTCTGAGCTTTGCCCTCCTAGTATTAGTGGTGCAGTGCTGCGCTCTTTCTAGAAAAGTGATATTTAGTTTTGTTGTTTTTTTCTTTTTCTTCTTTTTGCAAAGGTAGTGCCGATTTAATGGGACACACTGAAATAGGGAAAGATCAAAGAGAATTTCTTTATTATGATATGTATTTTTTATTTTTTTTTACGTGGTTTATTTCAGAATTAACAAGTGTTATGTATTCTTTTGTGCACACGAAGTGATTAAGGATGGGACTGAGTGGGAAATTAGAGTAGATAGCACCTGTTTTTCCTTTGTTCACGCAGTGAATAGCAATATCTGTATCTCTTTGTGCACAGAATGGCCCATGGAAAAAAACATTGTTTTACAAACACTTTAAATGCATAATAGATTCACAGTCATTAAAATGTTATTCATCATCAGCGCTTATTCAGCTCAACAATCTCAGTGTTATTATTGTGAATTTCAAAGAACCCTCTGTTATTATGGCAAGGGTTGTAACCTGTTAATTGACCATTATCGGCTTATTCACCTTCCCTCTAAATAAGCCTGCACAATTGTGAAATAGTGATGAATAGATCATGCCAAATATTACATTCCACTCATCACCCTTTAGAGATATAATGTAGAAACTTCAAACCAATGACATAGAATGTTAGTTTTGTTTTTTGGTTACTTTTTTTTTTTTTTATTACTTTGTTCCTATAATGGACAAAGCCTACGAGCCATGACTTCATGAAGCTGTAGGATAAAGTCCCATCCTAAGGTAGAAACACCAAAGAAGAGGCAACAGGGCTACACTAGTCAACACCGGTGTCTCCTAATAAGGCACAGAGGAACTCAAGGGCATCACCCCAAAGCAGTTGAACAGAAGCAGCTAAATGAAGTGAGGATAACTACTCACAAATATGTGGGGGGTCCCTCCTCCATAAATGAGAACCTCTAAATGAGTAAAGTATCCATAAAAGCATCTTGCATCATATTTATGGATACTTTACTCATTTAGAGGTTCTCGTTTATGGATGAGGGACCCCCCATATTTGTGAGGAGTTATCCTCACTCCATTTAGCTGCTTCTGCTCAACACACATAATGCAGCGCTTCAGCACACACCTTCCCCTTTAGCCCCATCTCTATAATTCTTTGTTCTCTTTCTGTCTCTTTTGGAGGAAAGTGGATATTATGAGGCTCTGAGAGAAGTAAAGATATATAAAAAAAAAAGCTTTTAGCCAGAACTGTAAACTTTTGCCTTTATTGTTGCTCTTCTGTGAAGGTTAACACTCATCCCAGACCCATGCTATGTGCAGGATGTACTGGCCTTTTGGATTTTATTTCAGCTCTCATTTTTTGCTTCTGTTTCCTCCTGGCCTTTGTGGTTCTCCAAGGAGAATGTCTTATACCTTTAAGGTAGAGAAAGAGCTATTTCTCCTCACTGTGGTGCTTCACATTCTTAAGGTGACAAAGGATGCCACTGCAGAAAGATCTGAGGTGGGAGATCAATTTAAATCACCTTTTGTGATTTATCTTCATTTTCCTGTCTCTAATGATTTTTTGGGGAAGCCGTAGAACAACTCAGGTTTTGGGTCTTAACAGAGGCTTAGTGCGGTGACTACAATAGTAAAACAGCCTGCAAACTGGCAGAGAGGAGACGAGACAGATCATGGTCAAGGAAGCACAGAAGGTCAACATATCAAGCAACAAGACAAGGTCAAGAGGAACAGAGAAGTCGAAAACCAGTACTATTAATACCACACTCCTGAGTTACAAGAGACCATGAAAGGGCAAAGACCAGTTTGTGATATGGGTTTTAATAGAATGTAGCAGATGAGAATTTGTAGGTGGCAGAGAAATAATATGATTGACTTTGTTTTCCTTAATGCCAAGTCTGTGGTTTTGTGAGTATTTTCCATAGAGGCTTTGTGGCTCTATTGACATTTTAGGCGAGGCCCTTTTCAGTGCTGGTCTGGATGCCATCATCTCCATGATGACTATCGAGAAGAGTACCTCTCTTTCACATAATGAAAAGGTCTCTAGTTGTCTCTACCAGAAGTGCTTTTCAGGAGATGCCCTGAAGGATGCGGCACAGCCTGGGGAGGCAGGTTCAATTGAGCCCTGTGGACGCACGTGCTCATGGGACAGGGTAGGTGTACTTTAGCAGAATGCTCCTGCCACTTCCGTTGGTTTCACTGAGGAAGAAACCCTCCTTGGATGTCTGATTCAAATTAAGAAAAATTGTGATATTAAAAATAAATATATGTATTTATTTTAACATTAGTATGTTCCTTTAATGATAGACTTCTTTAATACAAGATAAGACAGTTTTAGCATATGTGTATTTTTGTGGCCACACACTTTTTTCGCCCATGGTGGTAGATATGTGAATAGCTCTGTGAATAGGGTTAAAGACCTAATCAAAGGAGAGTCATGTTTTGGGGAGACTGGCTAATCCTATGTACCTTTCTCCTAAGAAGTTCAATAATGAGTTTTATATCCAGGTATATGGGCCAAATTTTCAAACTTCCCAATTATGTTTGGCAGTGAAAAGTAAATTAAAAAAAAAAAAAGAGTCCCACACCTCTAATGATCTAACGTGATACAAATTTGCAGCTGCTCAAACAAGGATTCTAACATTAGGAGAAGCCGTCTTGCACACAAATCCAGATAATACATTTTGTTTATTGTATACACAGTTTGTCAAGCATTTTTCTACAAATCTCCATATAGAATGTCTTCTCAACAGTAAATGTATTAAGAGTCCTACTCTGCTCCTTTTTTGTGCAAGTGTGTCCAATGTTCTCTTCTAATAGTTAGGTATGACTAGCGCCACTCTAGCTGATGGCAAACAGCCATGGTCTTCACCACGCTGCACCTGTTAGTTTTTTGTGTTCTTGATAAATCACGTAGGAGGAAGTTTTAGTCACTAAGCCAAGCTGTAATATCCTTAATCAAAGCACTCAATGGAACAAACTTTGACAGCAATCAACAGCGAGCCAAAATCTCACCACGAACAAAAGACCATTGCGTCTGACAACAATTTTGTATTAATTTAAATACCACCAATTTAACAAATCTGCTGCTTATTCATTACATTTCAAGCTTGTGTCATATACACTGTTATTAGGCTATATGCAGCTCGCAATGCAATTTAAAACAAAGTATAGTTGTGTTGCAAATTAAATGCTTTTTTATTGGCTTAATGGTTGTCTGAGTATGTGGTTTCTGATAGTAAATTGGTTGGAGGAGGGATTGTTAAAAGTTTTTGCAAGTGCAAGTTTAAACATTTTCTGTCTTAAATTAAATCGTTATATTGCTGTTGTATGGTCTCTTTTATTCAGTGATTTGGCGTAGTATAAAAATATCCTTTAACTTACACATTGCATCAATAATCAATAAAATAATCAAACATATGGTTGGAATTTTGACTGAGTTCCTGAGATTGCATGATGCTCTTAATTCACATTGCTGATTATGATATTAAAGGGACAATAAACACTCAAGCTTCACATAATGGTAGATCGGTGCAATCAGACCCACAACGGCACTTTCTTCCCTGAATTCACACTAAATGATTATGTACATTTTATATGGTATAATCTCTTTGGGTCTAAAGTTAATGTAGCTGCTATTTTACAGCTTGCCCTATTAAAGGAACATTATAGGCAACCAGACCACTTTAGCTCAATGAAGTGACCTTGGCGCAGTGGCCCTATTGCCCTATTGCCAATAGTGCTGCAATGAAACTGCAATGTTTACATTGCAGCACGGTCAGCCTCTAGTTGCTGTTTACCAGACTGCCACTAGAGGTGCTTTTGAAATCTTAACTGACACTTGAGGTCCTCACACTCTGCATGAGGACATCCAGTGTCAGTAAAATCCTATTGGAAAGCATTGATTCAGTACTTTCCTAAAGGAAGGGTCTAATGCGCTCTCCACACATGCGCATTAGGTACCCCATAGGATGACGGCGGAGGAGGAGCGCTGACCCTGCACCAAGGGACATCGGGTAAGTAAATAATGTTTTTTTTTTTTTTTTTGTTTTTTGAATATTGTGCAAATAGAAATAGATTACGTTTCTAGACATGAGACGCACTAAGAGATTAAACATAAAATAATCAAATAGTAGTGTTCAGGATGCAGGAAACCACTTGGATAAAGATAAAACAAATTAAACCCCCCCCCCCAAAAAAAAAAATCATCACAGCTGTAAGGAAGGAAGCTGCCTAGGTCGTTCACACTAGGCCTTTATTAGGCCAAGCTAAAGAGGCAGTTCGGAACTAGGCTATAGATTTGGTCACCCTATGCCACAGATGGGCCATGGCAGATAGTTAAGCCGCTTGAAAAAAAGGCAGCTTTCTGTCTCGCCGCTGCCAAACCTGGGAAGCAAAGCTGGAGCTGCCGCTGTACATCATAACGCCAGTTGAGCTCTACACAGGACTGGATGGGCTTAAAGTTCCTGACCACTTGGCTGACGAGTGGCTTGGGACTCACAATGCTTCCACTCCCCACAACTGTGGCTCCTGGCCTCGATGGGAGCCCCTCCCTTAAGTCCATAGATTCTCCTACCACTTGTGGCTGGATCTTGGGCCCACATGTCCTCCGTGTCTCGGAGTCCTCCATGGGTGACTGAGAACAGGTGACTGAGTCCGGATCATTGAATAATTGTTCAGCAGAAGAGGTAAGCACCTGAGGTCTGCTAGAGATGCGGTTCCAGAATGCTTGGCAGACAGCATTAAACCGTGCTTCAAAAGCCTCCCTCCACTGCTGGGTCTCAGAGCTTAACTGACCTCGTGGGGATTCCAGTTTGGTGGCCATTTTGCATGTGCCACGCAACATAGGATTGTGGTAACCCAGAGTTGCTGAGAGCATCATTGGTTGTGTGGCACAGGGGGGACCAGTATAACCACTGTCGTTCCGGAGGGGGGGGGAGCAACGGGGCTTCAGGTATTCTGCACCAGGCTATGTGCTTGGTGTCAGGGGGTCAGCTGCCTCCCCTAGCTATTGGCGTTCATAACCTGCTAAGCCTCAGTCATGGATGACGGAAAGGTGCAATGGCAGGAACAATTGTACTCCGTCTGGGCACCCCGAAACAGGCTTAACGTGGTGAGGCAGGAAGTGGGAACAGTCCCCAAGTACTTGGAGCTGTTCCAGGGAGATGTTTTGCAGTTTTAGCCTGTGTGTAGCTCGTGTTTAGCAGGAGCTAGAGAGATGTGCATCCGGCCATCTTAGTTGCCATTTTTTAACCCTTTATGTTCCACGAGGAGGGGAGACAGAGGGAGCTATAGTATTAGAAATGCAGGTTTGTATTCCTAACACTATAGTATCCCTTTAAGTTATCTCCATACAGTGGTATAAAGATTGTTTCTGTCTCTTCAACTCCAATACCACAATATTATTATCTGGAGAGAGCTGCATATAAACAAATAAGGTATATAATTGGTAAATGTCCCACAAACATAAAAAATATTAAAAACGGTGACATGGGCCCCGATCAAAGCTTTGAGTACGTTTTCTGTAATCAATCTGCACAATGTATACTTTCATCAGTATCCTGCGTTTTATTACAAATAGAGAAACAATCTCATTTAGTCATCATTCCCTTTAAATGGCTTCCGTTTGCAGAATATAAGCAATTTCTCTGTCTGTATGTTCTTCTGGGAATACTATTTAAAAAAAATAATAATAAAACATTAATGCTGAATGCTTTATGCTTTAAATCATCAAAGGTTTTAAGAATCTGAATAAGACTTTATTTATTTTTTTACCCTCAGAAAATTACAATCTACTAATAAATTGTATAAATGAATAAATCAATCAACTCGGAAAGAAGTAACTTTCAAACTCTTTGTACTTATTCATTAAAAGTGCACAGGGAGAAATGTTCTAATTGTAAATTCTAACGCTGCCAATAGCTCATAGCAGAATGTCCATTTCAAGTTTTATTCCGTATAATAATCTTCTGCACTAATAGCACAATAAGATACTTTGTGACAGATAAAAATAATTGCATTACAATTCTATTCCACAATATGCCTCCGCTG